TCGGACGCTTAACCGACTGCGCCACCCAGGCGCCCCTCCCATGTTTTATTTAATGGCACCCTTTACTTATGCTGCTTTAATTCCCTAACTCTTGGGAAACAAGATAACCTACCTGATAGCTCAACCACAGATTGGTGAACGAGCACTATTACGGATTACAAATACGAGACCTAAGTTCCTCCATTGTCTCTCCAGTGATTTATGACAACCACCACTAACCTACCAGGGTGCTTTTTCAAGCTGACCTCAGACATAGTCTCAATATGTTTGCAACCCGATGTTCCAGAGACAGCCCCTGAAGGCAGCCGGCATGTGCGAACAGACCTATCTGCCATCTCTAGGCTCAATGCTCACTGGCAGCATGTATTCTTGGTCCTATTCTACTTTAACAAAAGGGTGACATTTGCACAGCAGACCCCAGGACCTGAAGATGGTGTCAGTCATAGCAATAACGGAGAAGAAACGCATGGATGTCAAAACGGAGCCGCTGCCAAGCTGAATACTGATGCAGGATCTCACCCCTAAAGGCACTGTTGGGAGGGTTTCAAAGAGGTTACTACCAGTACCACAAGTATGTTAATGCGAAGAAAGGGAGCATCGTGGGGGTTTCTATGTCGCTGGCATCTTACATGCTTTTCAACTACTGCCGTTCATACAAGGACACTCAAACATAAGCAGCTACACAAGTACCACTGAAGAAGGCCCAGTATGGATTCCTGCCTTCCTGACCATGACCTTCTTTGCCAGGCACCCCTGATAATTTGCTGCAACCTTTCATATTTTAATTGAGAATGAATACCTGATAGAGGATGACTCCTGCAAAAACAAAAACTAAAACAAAAGAATGACATTTGAGTGAATAATAAGCTAATTTTTATTAACTGTATACTCTGTGGCAAGTGCTTTTCTAATAAGCACTTTATATTATTAAGTAATTCATTAGTGAAAATAATCCTGTAAAGGAAGACACTATTCGAGTCATTTGAGGATAGAAAAAAATTAAGCTTAGCAAGGTTAGGTAATTTGTCAAAGTCACACAGTTAGCTGATCTCCCAGTTAAACACTGGAACCAAAGTGGTTTGATTTGACAAGCCAAGGATATTAACCCCTATGCTATACTTCCATCTCTAAATCCCGAATGATTAGCAAAGGTTTGCCAGGAATAAAAAGGGCTAGTGGGCATTCTCAGAAGAAGGAAAGCACAGAGGAATAAAAAAGCTCAGTCTGTGCAGAAAACAAAGAGTAGCAGTATGGCTACTTGAGAAGAGTGAATTGTGGAAGGTAGTAAGTCTTAGAGAAGTAGGGAAGCCTGGCGCCTGACATTTTTTAAAAGTCCAAACTTGGGGTGTCTGGGTAGCTCAGTCAGTTAAGCGTCTGACTCTTGATTTCGACTCAGGTCATGATCTCATGGTTCATGAGATCGAGCCCCATGTCAGGCTCTGCACTGACAGCACAGAGCCTGCTTGGGATTCTCTCTCTCTCTCTGTCTCTCTCCCTCCCTCCCTCCCTCCCTCTCAAAATAAATAAATAAACATTAAAAAATTAGTTTAAATAAAAAAATTCTTAAAATGTCCAAGCTTCCTGTTATTGATACGAGAGAGTCAAGAAAGTCTGGCCCTAAAATAAAAAAGATAAGGCAACAGCTGCAAGGGGAATTAGGGATAACTGTAGAGGTCTAAGCACATTTATAAGACGGAAAGTAAAGAGATAGAAAGGATGTAGAGAAGTGAATAATTGATAAAGGAAAGAAACAGGATGATGAAGTCAAGAACACAGATAGTAATAATATTACCTACTACTCAACTATACTTCTAATGAAAACACAGAAAGGTACTACTTAGTTTGCATCACTGCACAGATTTGAAGGTCCTAAAACCCCAAACTTAATATATACACAGATTTGAAAATATTCTAGAAGTCCAACTTGTACTGAATCAATGCAGCTGCCCTCAATTAGTATTAGTCTGAATAACTGAAGCTTACTATATCTAAATTCAAATAATATAATAAAGACCTGTTTACAAACCAGAGAAACAAAAAGGTCGATTCACTTTTGAAATTTAAGTTAATTTCACAGGAGAGACAGTAACTAGTGCACAAACTTGAACTCGGAACAAATCAGGTTATTTCACAAACCCAACTGGCTTCCCCATCCCAGTATAAAATTAACCATGATCATAGAAAACATACAAAAATATTTTCCTTGGAGTTAGCCTTTAAATTCAAACATTATACTATATTTATGCAATCAGATAGGTATTTTAATGGTCATTGTAATGTTTTAGCGCAACAGTAATAAGATACCTTTGAAGACAAATATGTATGGCATTTCGATAAATCAAATCATCCTTAAAACTGATATGTTACAGTTACTGTAATGCTTTATAACTTCTTTGTTTAGAAATCAATCATCAAATGCATTTAGAAATTCATGTGTTATCATTATTAGAAGAAATTAAAGCTACTAATTTATATTAATGTAATTTATCAAAAAATCAGATGTTCGTATTTTGTTGTGTATCTCATTAAAAAGGTTAACACGTTTCTGTAAAGTGTAAAATACATTTGCCTTTTGTAAATGATTTTTAATAAGGTAATATATTTCCTGAAATACTTTTACTTTGAAAAATGCGGTGACTTTATTTTGGCAATAAGGACACTAAATTTGATTTAGTAGAGTAGTAATCTACACAAGAATGGCCTGGAAGCCTAGAAGGGTTAGTCAGTATCACTCTGCTGTACTGATTTACTTACTCAGATAATCTGACCCAATTTATCTTCTTGTTCACATAATCTGGCTAATATGTTGAAACATGTTTTACTTACTTTCAGGGGCTTACCTGAAAAACCTTACTACCCAAATTCAGTCTTGGCAACTAGGAAGCAGTAACTGGAGAGATCCACATACAACAAACATTCACACAAACGCTTTCAATAAATATACTGAATAACAACACCATTAATAATTTACCATGGAACATAAAGAAACCTTGTGGCTTAGCCATTTATATGTCTTAGGATAAAGTGGCAACAAAAGCTCTGTACGTTTCTTAACACAGAAAAGCTAAAGGGGCCATCACTGAGTGAGCCTGGTGATACTTTGCTATGAATCTCTAGAGTAGTGCATTTTAATGTTGAATGAACTATAAATCCAGATTAAGTGCAGTGCTATATCCTATGAATAACCCTTTTGATTCCTGGGAGATAGGTGATTAAAAGAAATTTTGTTTTTTTAAATAAAGACACTTCATAGCTGTCAATGATGTTTCAATCAAGAAAATCCTGGCAATTCTGAATAATGGTTTTGACTTAGAAACTATCTCAGGTTTATATATTTTTTTTACATCTTAGGAAAAAAATTGTTGACATTCCATTTTTTTGCAGTGTCCTAACACTGACATCTTCTGACTGTTGAGGAGAACTACAGATCTCCTTAAAATTTCCCAGTCACTAAAACTTATCTTTGCACCCACTTTATTTTAAAGTGGAAGACATTAACATTTGTTGAAAGATAATAATGTAATGGACATTTCAAATATTATCTCATTTGATCTCTTAGCAACTTATAAAAGAGAAATATTACAGGAGATAATTTAAGCCATAAAAAATAAAATCCTTATCAACAAATGATGCTATTAACTCAAAGAACTTTTTTTTTTTTCAACGTTTATTTATTTTTGGGACAGAGAGAGACAGAGCATGAACGGGGGAGGGGCAGAGAGAGAGGGAGACACAGAATCGGAAACAGGCTCCAGGCTCTGAGCCATCAGCCCAGAGCCTGACGCGGGGCTCGAACCAACGGACGGCGAGATCGTGACCTGGCTGAAGTCGGACGCTTAACCGACTGCGCCACCCAGGCGCCCCTCAAAAAACTTTTTTAAGAGCTCACTGAGGCTTCTATTAAGACTTTATTGAGAAGTTCAGTTGGGGGCGCCTGGGTGGCTCAGTAAGTTTTAAATGTCTGACTTCTTTCTGCTCAGGTCATGATCTCATGGTTTTGTGGGTTTGAGCCCCACGTCAGGCTCTGTGCTGACAGCTTAGAGCCTGGAGCCTGCTTCAGATTCTCTGTCTCCCTCTCTCTCTCTGCCCCTCCTCTGCTCGTACTCTGTCTCTCTCTCTCAAAAATAAATAAACATTAAAATTTTTTTAAAAAGTTCAGTTGGGTTACCATAAAATATTTTTTAAAACAATGAAACTGTATTGATTTGCAAGTTTAATTTGATATTAGGCTATCCACAGTAGATAAACAGACGGCATAGCATAGGCTCTGGGTTCAAATCCTGACTCAGCTACTTATTAGCTAAGTGACGTGGAGCATATTACTTTGCCTCTCTGTGCCTTAATTTCTCCATTTGTAAAATAGGAACGATAAGGTACTTACTTCACAGGATTGTTATGAATATTAAATGAGTTGATATTTGTAAAGTACTTAGAACAGTGCAAAGCACTTAGTACATGGTGTGCAAGAGTTCTGATAAATTGTCAGAATTTATATGCTTTTACTTTACTAGTAGATCAAATAAATATCAAAATCTCATTCTTTAGCCAGAAATACCGAAATTTCCCCCACATCATCACTCATTCATCAGGTTTTCTCTACTAACAAATTTTATCGAGTGCCTTTGTTCGAGATCCTATAAACTAAAAGAGGAGACTTTAAAATCAATGTCAGAATGTACATAAAACTGCAGATCTGTAGAGACATGGGATAAACAGACTTACACCATTACTGATCAGGGTTCTACTTTAGAGTGTTTTTCCTTTTTCCCTATGTCTTTTATTACTTCATTACCTCTCACACTGACCAGGTAACATGAAGCGCAATAAAAAGATTCAGTAATTACTTGTTGAAAGATGAAACTTGCTATGACATGTAACGTTTCTGTTTTGGTCATATAATACTACTTTCATATGTTATACTCCCATATAAGGAAACAGATCAATGTGTATAGATAACCACTTCTACCAAAGAAAAACATGAAATATAATCCTACCCATTAGTGATATAAACTTCAAATTACCTACCCATTAGCATAGAGCAATGTCATTTACATAAAATGATTATTATTAGATAAAAATTAGGCTTCAGGAAACAGAAAGGTACACAAAGACAACAGAATTTGCTATTCATGGGGCAGGAAGCTTCCCTGCACTGTTCATTTGAGTCAGAAATTCCAATAATGGATTCTGATTAGTATTGAATATTATGCTAATTCCACAGGCATCTACAAACATAGCGGACTTTAACCACAAATGAGTAATACTACAATACTTACAAAGGTATACCCAGTAAAATTTCATTAAAACACTCCTAAACTAGAAATCTGAGAGAATTCAGATAGTCTAAGCTTTCCAAATTTATCTATGATAAAAGATCATCTTAAGAAATCTACTAAGGTAGCAAGAAGAAAAAATGAGGGACAAACACTTTCAGGCATTTTTAAGAGCCATGTACACAGCATTTATTTAGACAAACAGTTAAATGCTAATTGCAAATATGTGTGAACTACATACTGAAACAAATCTAATTAAAGACCTTTTCTAAGTAATTCTTCTAAAACATTACTACATATTGCTACAATTAGCAGGATAGCAACCATTCATCTTTCTTGTCAAGTATTTGGTAAATCACAATTCAGACTGATCTACTCATCCTTAGTTATTCTGAATTATTGAAATTTTACCTATTTAACTGGATCATAGTATCTATACTCTTGCATGGGGGAAATCAAGACAAAATAACATATTTACTATATGTAACTAGAGTTCTATTCTACCTTATTAACACAAAACTGATAAAATCAAAACTAATAATTACGAAGTAAATTTTGCAATTCAATAAAGTACCTTGAAATATTCTTTTCTAATCTGTTTGCTCCGCCTCCTTTCTTCACTCTGCCAGATTATAGGTTGAGATTCTGGCCACTGCTGTTCATCTATTTGATCCTTCTGATTTTCTAAAGGCTGTAATGAGACAATTTCTTTTAACTAAATAAATGAGAACAAAATATTAGATATAACAGTAATTCATTTTCCTCTTACCTGCCATGTGAGAGGTGATAACGGTGAATTAACTTCATCTGCTGAGACACTACAAAATTAAAGATGCCTTAATATATTAAAATCTTTAGAATTACCCTTAAGTATTTATTATGAGCATTATAAAGTTGTCTCTCTCTCTCTTTTTGTAGCAGAAATCTAAAGAATTTACCCCTGTCTATGGTTTGAACTAATAACATAAAACTTAGCTGACAAAAACATATTTAAGTTCCCAATCACTTATATTCCTTTAAAAAACATTAAAACGAGTTTACTTAATATCATCCTATGCACAGAACTCCTCTAAGGACTTTTTAGAGGCCAAAAGAAACGTGACACCTAGACAAACAATGAAAACACAGAATGTTTATTGTATTACACCATTACCAAAACCAAACAAACAAACAAACAAACAAACAAACAGAAACTGAGTGATTTCTTTATACAAATGTCTTTTGTTTAAATGCCAAAGAGAATAGGGGAGCAATTCTTTTTTGACTATTGAATTACTGATTATGAACCTCTAACCCTTCATTCTGACACACAGGGGCTATGGCAGAAATTCTTTTCATCTATTTTTGTGGGGAACAGTAAACCACACATGCTGTTGTTAGGTAGCCACTCTGAACAAGAAGTTCCTTTGGAAAAAATGCACAAACAAAATTCCCACAAGAGCTATTATTATTCAACACTGTTATAGAACTTCTCTATAGTACAGTTAGAAAAGAAACATGTAAAAATTAGAGAGAAAGAAATAAATTTTCAAAATTTATAGAAAACATAATTATCCAAAGGAGGTAAAATCTATTCTTACTAAGAGAATGTTACCAGTTATAAAAAATATACAAAAGTTAATAGCCTTCTCATATAACAATTATAACAAGCTATAAAATATATTAGGAAAAAAACTCATTCATAAAAGTAAGGAAAAGCAAAAATATGGAAGAAACTGAACTTAAACATGCATAAGACCTACATGGAAAAAAAAAAACTACCAATGTCTAGTAAGGAACTTGAATAATTGGAAAGTTCTTAGACAGAAAGACTAAGTATTATAGGTGTAACTTTTACTTCAAATTAATGGACACCTGAAATGAACTATAATAAAAAACCAGAAAGTATTTTGGGGCTTGTATTAGAAATGCAATAGGGGCGCTTAGGTGGCTCGGTGGTTTAAGGGTCTGACTTTGGCTCAAGTCATGATCTCGTGGTTCACAAGTTCGAGCCCCGCGACAGGCTTTGTGCTGACAGCTCAGAGCCTGGAGCTTGCTTCGGATTCTGTGTCTCCCTCTCCCTTTCTCTCTCTCTCTGTCTCTCTCCCACTTGTGCTCTGTCTCTGTCTCTCTCTCAAAAGTAAACGTTAAATTTTTTTTAAATAAAGAAATGTGATAAAAGAATTTCCAAGTTGATTTGGAAGAACAGATGATCAGGAAGAGAAAAGTTATATAATAAAAGGGACTTCCCTACTAGGAAATTACATATATTCTATTAAATTAGAGTAATCAAATACTACTAGATCCAGATTTTCCAGGGGAAGACAAGTACAGGACCACAAATATAACAGCTTTTGATTTAAAAATATGAAATTTACAATCACCGTAGAAATGATAGGTTATGTAGCAAATAGTGTTGAGACAACTGGTTAACCAATTATAAAATACACACAGAAAGAAAGAAAAACAGAAGGGGAGGAGGAGAGGGCGTGAAAAAAGGAGAGAGGGAGCAAGAGAGGAAAAAAAAACACCAGATATCTTACTTTTTATCAAATACCAAATTAATGACTCAAAGATTTAAATATAAATAAAGATAACATCACAAGCATATGAAAAATATGGGCAGTAGAAGTTTTTAAACATTGGGACAGACAAGGTATATGAAGAAGCAAACTAAATATTGACAAAACACACAAAATGTAAGAATTATACTTTGTGTCTGGCCAAGACAGAAGTAACAGGGATCAGATTTATTCCCTGACTAAAAACACTAAAAGAACAGGCAAGATATATAAAATTCTACCTTCCAAGATCCTGAATATCAGGCAAGGCCAAAAAAAAAAAAAAAAAAAAAGACATTTTTTTTTTTTCCTGGACAGATGGCTAACAAACAAGTCAAACCCCACAACTGTGCCAGGTTGCTGCAGAAAGAGAGTTTCCAGGCTTCAGGCTTCAGCCCACAGACGAGGAACCAAAGCACGGCCCAAGGGTATCCGTGAATTAAGGAAACCGAGCTGGGACCCAGAGTGAAAGAGGTAGATGGAATTAACAGGACAAAGTAATAAAGAAAAGAGCAACACGCAGAGAAAGAACTTACGAACTCTCACAAATTTTCTTCAAATTTTCAAATTTCAAAATCTTCAAATTTTCAGCTGAGTACTGATCACTGATCTTATACTAGGCAAAAGAATGAATCACCAGAAAGATTCGACAGAATAGTTCTCAGACTCACAGAGGACTACAAGCAATACGGGTTCCCACAAGCCAGACCGGAAAAGCATATAGTTGATGGAGCATCAGCCAGAGTACTAAGAAAGTCTTGCCCCACTAGGGGGCCAAATCTGGCCCTAGACTAAATGTCACACTGATTCCACGTAACAAGTCATAAAAACCAAGTCCCCAAGATATCAAATCGTTGTCAAGTAATTTAACCACATCCGAGAACAAAGTTCCAGAATATTTACAGCAATGCGGTAAGATCCAGCACCCAAGAAGGTGAAGTTCACGGTTCAACCAAAAATTCAATCAGGTAACGTTCAGGAAGCTCGAGGAAAAGACTAAACATGTTAAGTACAGACGTGATGGACATAAAATAGATAAAAATCAAAGTTCAAGAGATGACAAGTACAACATCTCTTTCAAGTACGAAGAAAATGACACTACATGGAAACACAAAGGAACACGGGGCACTAGAGATGGTGACGAAGGGAGTAAGGATAAAAGGCATTATTCTGATTATTTAAATCTCTTTAAAGAAGTAACTGACTATTTAAAGCAAAAGTATAACAATGTATTATGGGGCTTATGACATGTATGGAAGTCAAATGTGTAGCCGCAACACCACAGAGGCCAGAAGGGAAGAAACAGGATTCTGTTGTGAAGTCATGCAATGTATGAAATGGCCTAATAGCACTTGGGAGATAGACTGTGAGATGTTCAAATACTATACTGTAACCCCCAAAATAATAACTAACGTATGATAACAAAGAGTTATAGCTAATAAGCCCATGAAGGAGAGAAAGAGGAATTTTCAAATAAAATTTAAAAGACAAGAGAAAAAGAAGAAAGATGGCTACAAAGAACAGATAAGACAAAAATTAAACACATTACAAGATGACAGATTTAAATCCATTAATACCAATAATTCCATTAAATATGAGCAATATTAACGCTGCCATTAAAATTCAGACTGTCAGATTAGATAAAAAAGGAAGGTGCCACCATATGCTAACTATAAGAAACCCACTTTCTTCACAAAAACACAAATAGGTTAAAAATAAAAGGATGGTAGGGGCGCCTGGGTGACTCAGTCGGTTGAGCGACCGACTCCAGCTCAGGTCATGATCTCAAGGTCTGTGAGTTCGAGCCCCGCGTCGGGCTCTGTGCTGACAGCTCAGAGCCTGGAGCCTGCTTCGGATTCTGTGTCTCCCTCTCTCTCTGCCCCTCCCCCGCTCATGCTCTGTCTCTCTCTGTCTCAGAAATAAACATTTTTTAAAAATTCAAAAAAATAAAAGGATGGAGAAAGATGTATCATGTGCTGAGATGACTATATAATATCAGAAAAGTAGACTTCAGAGCAAAGAACATTACCAGAGATATAAAAAATGCCATTTCATAATGACCAACGTATAAACTCACCCTAAACATTTATGCAGCTAATAAAAGCCTCAGAACATATGAAGGAAAAATGATAGGACTTCAAAGACAAATCCCCGATTTGTGCTGGAGATTTCAACAGTCTTCTCTAACAACTGATAAAGCTGACTGACACTGAAGTGTGCCAAGGGGGCGGTGGGGTAGTGAAGGCAAACAATGAACAAATAAAGCAATACACATTCAGGATGCCAGATGGTAAAAAAGTATAAATTTAGAACGTCAGAGGGTTCTGTGGAGAAAAATAAACCCGAGATATGGATAAAGAGACAGAAGTGGGAGAGGCATGGTCTTTTATTTAAGTTGTTCAGGGAACCCGTTGCTGCTGCTGCAGAAACCTGACGGCAGAGCATACGGCTTATACGGTTACCTGGGGGGGAATCACTCCAGGCAGAGGCAAAAGCCTTGAAGGAGTGGAAAATGCCTGGTATATTGAGATTCAACAAGGAGGCCAGTAGAGCTAGAGAAGAACTAACTAACTAGGAAGACCGAGGCAAGAGAGGAAGACAACAGGGAGCCAGATGATGTTAGAGGTTTCCGAGTCCTCAAAGGGCTCTGGTTTTTATTCTCAATGAGATGGAAAGTCATTAAAGAATTACTTCTGAAGGGTGACGTGATCTGACTTACATTTGAAAAAATACCGATCTGATGCTTTTTCGAAAAACAGGCTAAAGGAAAGCAAGGGCGGGAGAACTGTTAGGAAGCTACTGTAATAAATGAAGTAAGAGAAGGCCAGGGCTAGGGTGGTAGGTGTGGAGGTGACAAGATGTGATCGGATTCAGGGTATATTTTGAAGGTAGCATCAACAAGATTTGCTCGTGGATTAGATAGGGTGTGTGAAAGAAAGTGACGAGGTTGACTCTGAGGTTTTTGAGATGAGTAACTACAAGGATGAGTTGACATTTTCAGAAATGGGAAAAAAATACAGGAAAACCAAGTTTAAGAGGTACAAGGAGGGAGATTAAGAGTGTGGTTTTGGAAAATTAAGTTTCATATGCCTATTATACATCTAAGTAGAGGTGCTCAATAAGCACCGGGTCATACAACTCTGTGTACACACGCACACACAGATGAAAAAAGGGCCTCAAGGGAAAAATACCAAAGTACTATAGCTTGTCATCTCTAGAGAGATGGACAATAGGTGGTGTTTATTTATGTGTTTGCTAAATTTCATAATTTTTCAACAAAAAAGCTACACTAATCTTATAATCAGGAACAAATTTAAATTATTTTTTGTTCTTAAAAAAAATATTGAGGGCCGCCGGGGTGGCTCAGTCGGTTAAGCATCCTACTTCGGCTCAGGTCAGGATCTCGCGGTCCGTGAGTTCAAGCTCCGCGTCGGGCTCTGGGCTGACGGCTCAGAGCCTGGAGCCTGCTTCCGATTCTGTGTCTCCCTCTCTCTCTGCCCCTCCCCCGTTCATGCTCTGTCTCTCTCTGTCTCAAAAATAAATAAAACGTTAAAAAATAAATTAAAAGAAAAAAAGAAAATATTGAGTGTTTTGAAGATGAGGAAAGTAGAAGTAACAGTTCTATGAAGGAGAGGCCAGGATTATACATCACAATTTTGAGGTCTGAGTAACTGGGGCTTTCTCTTTTTTAATTTTTTTTTTTCAACGTTTATTTATTTTTGGGA